TATTCTAGGACCATGCTTCTTCTGAGAATACATGGTGCTGACCAGGTCTATGTACCAGAAATTGTCTAAGAAATTTGCTAAATGTTTAACTAACTAAGGTTGCAATCCTACACACAATTTCTCTTTGGAGTCAAGGGAGTTCTCTTCCGAGTAGACATGTCATACTAACTTAAACTTCAGTAACTATAGAGACAGGATCCAAATAGCTGCTTAGCTTCTCACAAGTGGCCTTGTTTTTAGCACAGTGAATTGTTTTATATACCCTCCTCTCCCACACCATTTCGCAAGTAGTTTGTCTAAAGTCCTCAGGCTCACAGAGCTACCTTCATGATTTTAGCTAGACAATTTTAGGCCCCTGGATTTAATGGTCTGAACCGGGGGGGGGGGGCAGAAAGGACTAAGATGCCCATGTGTATTATTTCACTTGTGAAGCAGGTTAAAAAAATTTCTCTTCTGCCGCACCACCATTTTGTGCTTTGCACTGCCTTCAGCATTCCATGATGCTGCAAAAATTAAGCAAAGAAACATTCTGCCAGTGCTTTGCTTTTTTTTAAAGAATACCCTGAGCACATACAGTTTCATAGATTAAACTCACTTAAAACTCACTGACCGCAGGGGTAAAATGAGGTGTGCTTCTGCTGACCTGAAGAAGGAAAGAATTACAGACACACACACGTATGTATGTATGTATGTATGTATGTAAAAGTAATAAAATGAGCATCTGTAACTCCAAATATGTAACCACATCGGGCACCACATGACATAGCTTTTCTTGCGAGGAATCCTATTCGGAATAAGGGAATTTCCCTTAAAAAAGGGAAACGTTGACAGCTATGCCACATGACTAAGCATTGTTGAAACCCCAGTCTCTGGCAAGCAAAACTGTTTGGCTGAGAGAATGTTCTTAATAGTGTGATACTGAAATCCAATAACATGCTTTTCAAAAGAAGAAGTGTGCACCCTAGTGTGCCCATGCCATACCAGGTGCCGATGCAGGAACTGCTTTCCACTGCTCCTATCAACTGCTGCTCTCTGGGTGGTCATTCCAGGGTTCCTGTGCTACAGAGCTCTGAGCGTCCTCTCAAGGTCCAGCCTTAGCTGCATCACTGGTTTTTAATTCTAACCCACAACGGCAGTTCTGCGCAACATTTAAGCTGCTTAAATCTCCCTAGATTCCATGGGTTTCATAACTGTGCGCAGGATCACAACCTTTATGATTCAAGTGCTGTCTGTCCCATATGGATTGGGGATTTATCTTTCAAAAGCTTCCAAGTTAACAAGGCAGGCTTCTTAGTCATGCTCTAGAGCAGGGGTCAGCAAAAAGGAAAAGTCTTGTTTGGTATTGCTGGTCCAAGACTAATGTCCTTTTACTCTTGACTACTATTTGCTGGGGGGGGGGGTCTGCATGGATACAGGTCAGACCTCTCTAGCTTTTGTTGCCAGAAGAGCTTATGTATAAATCCATCTAAGATAAGCATCTCGCAGGAGCCAATCAGGACCCAGATGGTGTTTATTCTTATACTTCTTTGGTTAATACATGGAACTGTGTTTAAGATTTATTTTCTTTATATTAGAAAGAACACTAACGCTACCATTTCGCGCTAAACATTCAGATCATCTGCCACCTGAAACATTTTATTCTCTTCATATGATTTATTTGGGACAGAAGTTACTATAATATGAATGATCTGGTAAAGGGACCTGGCAGAATATCATTGTTGATTGTGATTTTTCACCAAACAGAAACATAACATATTCTTTGGTGCAAGTGCTCTTCAGAGTTAGAAAACTGGTATTAGCAAGGGGACTAGAAAATGCATCATGTAGATTAGAATATAATGGAAGCTGATGGGGCATTTTAACAGCTTTGAACCAGGAAATTCCCAATTCAAAATTTGCCTGTTATAAACTCACTAAGTAGCTACAGGCAATCTGCTACCTCAAAGTCCTCCCTGCCCCATCAGAATCTTAGCTTCTCATCAGAAACATGGAAATAACAATGCTAACCTATTCTGCATAACTATTGTAAAGATTAGTAAATGTATGTGAAATGCTTTGAACTCTCTGAAGTGCTAGGTACTATTATTCCACCATAATACAGATACAGGATATAACAATAGATAGAATACCCTTTTGTGAAAAGAGGCCAAAGTAGATAAGATGGCATGTGATAATGCTGAAACTATTTCAGCTGGAGAGCAAATATGCAAGCTTTTAAGTTTCATGGACGTAGCTAAATGTGAGCCTACACAGAAGCAAGCAGAGGTAGAACAAGGACACATAGTCTCCTTCAGACTGTACACAATTATTGATTTCTTTGCCAAATGTTATGCTAACACCAAAAACCCAGCTCAAGCTTGTCTGCCGGATAGCAATAAATGCGAAATGGAAGGAACCTCTACAGCAAATTGCAGAGGGTCCCTCTACCTCAGGCATCCCCAAACTCAGCCCTCCAGCTGTTCTGGGACTACAGTTCCCATCATCCCTGACCTGTTAGCTAGGGATGATGGGAGTTGTAGTCCCAACTCCGAGTTTGGGGGTCTTGCTCTACCTGCACAAGCCTCTCATAGACTCCACTTTGGTATTAACAAGGCGGCCAAGGTTTGTGTGCAAGAGAAAACTCATAACATTTGGCCTGACAACCACAACTTTCATTATAAAAGAAAAGAAATAAAGTATATCCAGGGTTTCACAAACTTGTTTCTCCAGCTGCTTTTGGACTACTGTTCCCAAATGAACACTGGTGTTCCCTGAACACTGGTGCTGCTGGGTAAGGGCAATGGGATTCGTAGTCCAACAACAGCTGGAGACCTAAGTTTGGGAAACCCCCTGATCTAGCCATTCAGATAGCAAAAGTGTGTGAAGCCTAGTGAAGTCAGGAGAGCCCTAAGAAGGCTTGGTGGGGTCTTTAGGAAAATATATGTAATATATAGGGTTGTATCCAAAGTGTTGATGTTTAGTCGTGTCTGACTCTTTGTGACCGCATGGACCAGAGCACGCCAGGCACTCCTGTCTTCCACTGCCTCCCAAAGTTTCATCAAACTCATGCTGGTAGCTTTGAGAACACTGTCCAACCATCTCGTCCTCTGTTGTCCCATTCTCCTTGTTCCCTCAATCTTTCGCAAAATCAGGGTCTTTTCCAGGGAGTCTTCTCTTCTCATGAGGTGGCCAAAGTATTGGAACCTCAGCTCCAGGATCCATCCTTCCAGTGAGTACTCAGGGGTGATTTCCTTAAGAATGGATAGGTTTGATCTTCTTGCAGTCCATGGATCACTGTCTTGTCATGGCAAAGGAGCTTGAATAACTCAGAGAAGCTATGAGCTATGCCATGCAGGGCCACCCAAGACGGACAGGTCATAGTGGAGAGTTTTGACTAAACGTGATCCACCTGGAGCAGGAATTGGCAAGCCACTGCAGTATCCCTGCCAAGAAAACTCCATGGACAAATACAAAAACAAAAGGCCTATCCAAAGTAGCAGTAAGTATCTCACCGCATGACTTCTGCTTGTACAACAGGCCTTCCTCCACTCCTCCACCTCACTACTTCTGTTTTGGGTTTCTCCCCAACCCTTCGGGGCAGATTTGGAGATGGTCTAGGGGAGGGGTTGTCAACCTGGTCGCTACCGCCCACTAGCGGGTATTTCATGATTCTAGGTGGATGGTAGGGGGTTCTATGGCACAAGCTGAATCCTCCTTCCATCGAGCACTGGTGGGCAGTAAGGAAATTTTACCATCAAGAAAGATGCATTAGTGGGTGTTAGGTATAAAAAGGTTGACTACCCCTGGTCTAGGGTGTGTGCAGGGGATGGAGAGGGGAAGTCCCACTGCACAGGTAGAAGTCATTCCACTCGTGAAATTATTCAGCTGGATAATAAATCACAGAGGGAGAACTTCACTGCAAAACAAATTAGGCAAATTTATTTGTGCATGTCACAGAATTCAGCTTCTTTTGGTTTACAGTTTTGATTGTTATGTTCCTCTCCCCAGCTAAATATACATGCAACCCTAAGCAAAGGTAGTTTGCAAATTGCACCTGTAGATCTTTAGTGCAGATGGGCTACTTTTGAATCAGGCAGCGCAATGCTACTCCCAAGAGAATCAATTTTAGGCTTCCAAAACAAGTGATCCTCTAACTTCCTTCCCTTAACAACCTGCCAATTATTTGTATTTATTATCACTGCAGTGCCCTTACAAAATACAAAAACAGAATAAAATAAAATCCTGTGGCACTCAACATGGGACAGTAAGGAAAACACATATTCTCCTGCAGCAGGACCTAATTACCAAGGGACAGTTTGCTTTCCCCCCTTCAGCTGATAAATTATAGTCACATCCCTGGAATCACAAATAGTCTAAAAGAATTGCTTGCCTTCGAGCTCAATTTTAAAACTGATTGTGTCCCCAGAGAGCGTTTAATCTTAAAAACAATTACAATTAAATAAAATGGAAGAGAAAAGTAACATGTCATGTGCTCCGGGATTATTTTCTTTTTCTCCGTAGTAATCTTTGTCCTTTGTGTGTGTGTGTTTTTATATGCCATTGTACCTTCACATTTGATTGCAATAATTATGGTAAAACCCTATTGCTTTCAATGTATGGTGAAATCTGCCCCTCTAGACCCATTAGGTGGAACTACTTTGTTAGCTGCGATATTTTCCACAGCTGTTTAAAGCGTTATTGCTGTGTTTCTCCCCAGAAAACAAGAGGTACAAAAAAAATGGGTATGGTGATGTTTTTGTTTAACCATTTTCTTTTGGAAAGAGCATGGAAGTATTTTATCATCATCATCATCATCATTATTATTATTATAAATCTGAGAATATCTTAAAATAGAAATGCTGGCCAAATATTGATGGTAGACTCTCTTATTATTTGACTGTGGTCAAATGTTGAATATTCTGAGAATGGCACTGTGTAGATGGCAGATAACCTTTATCCTTTATGGTAGGAGAATATCTTGGTCTATCTTGCTCAGTATTCCAGGGTTTCCCAAACTTGGGTCTCCAGCTGTTTTTGGACTACAATTCCCATCATCCCTGACCACTGGGATGATGAGAGTTGTAGTCCAAAGACAGCCGGAGACCCATGTTCGGGGAGCCCTGGTCTACATTGACTGGCAGTGACCTACCAAGGTGTCAGGCAGGAATATCTCCCAGCCCAATCCATTGAGATCCATTTCCCCATAACTACCCCAAGTTCCTGGATTGAACTTTCCATCCCTCTGTAAAAGTTTAAATCTCCTGGTCCAAACGACTACTAAAACGGAAAGCAACATTTCCCCCTTAACAATACAGAACTCAAAAAGTGACTGAACAGTTCGCATTGCTTCACCTATTCTGAGGGCTGCACTGGACAGGGATGGGTGCAAGAGTGGGCAGGGGCAATGACAACTCCTCACCTCTCCATCCCTGCTCTGGCATATTCATCCTGCATTGTCACCCTCTTTGCATTTCTTTCTCTGCCTTTCTCAGTCTTTTTATTCCTCCCCTACTTTTCTGTATAGGGACGCGGGTGGCGCTGAGGGTTAAACCACAGAGCCTAGGACTTGCCGGTCAGAAGGTCGTCGGTTCGAATCCCCGCAATGGGGTGAGCTCCTGTTGCTCGGTCCCTGCTCTTGCCAACCTAGCAGTTCGAAAGCACCTCAAAGTGTAAGTAGATAACTAGGTACCGCTCCAGCGGGAAGGTAAACGGCGTTTCCGTGCGCTGCTCTGGTCCACCAGAAGCGGCTTAGTCATGCTGGGCACATGACCCGGAAGCTGTACGCCGGCTCCCTCAGCCAGTAAAGCAAGGTGAGCGCCGCAACCCCAGAGTCAGTCATGACTGGACCTAATGGTCAGGGGTCCCTTTACTTTTACTTTTCTGTATTTGTCCCCTTTTCCCTCCTGGCTGCCTCCTTTGCATGCCCCCACCTGTCAGTGCAATTACGTTTTGGGGGAAAGTTCCCTGGAACTTTTTTCTAAGCCTAATTACCATATGGACAGGTTTTTTTGGGGGGTGGGGGTGAATCAATTCACAGGAAAGGATTAATCCTTTTCAGAAAGATCAAACTGCATAGTGCCTTCTCACCACCTGCCCCTCCAAAATCTGCCCCCACATAGCACTTAAGCTTAGCAAAAGAGATCCCATTTACATCTCTTCTGTTAATTGTGTTACACAGGAGAGTCAAGGAAGGGAAGACACAGGGCCCAGTACCAAAGAGGTTGTATCCTGTCTACAGGGCAGCAACTCCTGATCCCTGCATTAAACCATACAGTGGTACCTCGGGTTACAACGCTTCGGGTTACAGACTCCGTTAACCTGGAAGTACCTCAGGTCTAAGAACTTTACCTCAGGATAAGAACAGAAATCGCGCAGCAGCAGCGGGAGACCCCATTAACTAAAGTGGTACCTCAGGTTAAGAACCGTTTCAGGTTAAGAACGGACCTCCGGAACGAATTAAGTTCTTAACCAGAGGTACCACTGTAGTTTAATAATGAGATGAGCAAGTCGAGGCAAGTCTTCCCTCTCTGCTGATACCAGGAGTTCAGAAGTTTCACATGCATTTTTGCTTATCCACTGCAGCTTGCTGTGTCACACAAACTGACAAATGGTGGCTAATGTTAGCTATGGTCTGTTTGAAACAAGCCAACTTGAAACCGTTTTGACATTTCTAAATACAGTTGTACGGAATAGCCTGATCTTTTTTGGCGGGGGGGGGGGGAGGAAAGAGTCCATCTGTAGAGAAGGGAGGCAGGAGAAGATGCTATCACAGAGAGCAGAACTAGCAGCTGGAAAAAGGTGTGGTATTTTCTACAAAAAAAATAATACTTGTGGATTGGAAGGTGGCATCTGTAGGAAGCAGAACATTCTTGCCACCTCTGTAGTCATTGCCTTTCACCACAGATAAATATTTGAAGTGATATGAGAGAATAAATTTTGGTGATGGCTTCTGGCTTTATGCAGTGTGTAATGCACCCTTCCTCTGAGCAACTCTGGACAGCATATGAGAGATTATTCCTTTATTCTCAAAACAAATCTGTGATGTAGGGGGTTGGACTAGATGACCCCCGTGGTCCCTTCCAACTCTACAATTCTATGATTCTATGTAGGCTAGGTGATCCCAAATGACTTGCAGAAAGCCTCTCTGGAAGCTTTATTGTTCCGTGGGAAACACCAAGGAAGCCAATAGGAATCCTATGAAAATCATGTCCTTGCAGGATTAAAAGTCTTGCTCGTACAGTCTTAAAAGCTCTTGACAGGTAATTGAGATAGGAAATAAAGCTGATTCATAGCCAGCATTAAGATTTCATAGCACAAAAAGATTAAAATTAGAACCTGCCTTTAAGCTAACCAAGGATTTAATTTGTCTTCTCTCCTATTTCTTTGAAAAATTAAGAGCTCTGAAAATTATAGATACTTCAGCAATTTGTTCAATTAAGTGCAGTTAGCATGCATTAAAAACCCCTTTTCTCTACACTGTTTATAAAACAGACAGAAAGCAATCTTAAGTAAGAGATATTTCAGCAATAATAAAAAATGCATTATGGGCATGACTATTTTTGTGTGCATACAGCTGTTGCTTGGAAAATAACAGCATTTCTAACAAATTGAGCATGATATAGCTATCATGCACAAGGTTCTTAACTAGCAAATTCCTAATTTGGAAGAGTTATTTAAGATTGCAGGGAAAAGCAGAATGAATTGTGCAATTTTGGAGTCAGTATAATTTTGCATGCATAGAATTCACAAAACGTGTTTAATTAGAATGCAAGCTTCACTGCACTCAGTGGGACTTACTCCCAAGTAAGCATGCATAAGCATATAAACTGGCTTAATTTCTGTCAGTGGGGCTTCCTTCCTGTACTAAGAATCCAGAAGCTAATATGATAAGAATAATTAACATCAGAGCTATAGGTGTACCACTTCAGATGTGAAGGTGGATCGTGCTACAATTGCATTTTGTGTTTCTACAAAAAGTTCGCTATAAGTCTGGTCTGAAATAAGATGAGAGGATAACAAGGAAAATAGTGGACTACAATAATTTGGCGGCAGCACCTGACTGTGTAAAAGGTGAGTGAACCACAAATGACAATTCCAGTGAAGGGTTGGTGTGAAAGCAACTCAGCACCTATTTATTTCCATTTTTAGTTTTAGATTTCTTTTTAGACACCACCTCTACTGAACAATTATAAAGTTTTCTTTTAGTACAGTTGAGCTTATGGAAATATGGGGTGGGGGGGAGAGACACTAATGTTGCCAGTGATGTTGTGCAAAGTGGTCAAAAGAGATGAAACAGGGATTTGGGTATATAAATTAATTACCCTTTTGCTAATTATCCCAATTTAGAAAGAAACAGGATGCTATTTTCTGTAGCTGACCTTCTAAGTATTCATGGGATAACTCATGTAAAAAGTATGTGATGAGCTGCTTTGAAGTAGGCTAGGATATAGGAAAGTCTTTTTTTTAATTAGGTCTGCCTCCTCATGCAACTATTTATTGCTTGTTGGTCTGACTCTGAGTGTGCATCTTGCTTTTTTATTGTATAAAAAGAAGATAAAACACTGTGTATGATATCCAAAATAGCTATTGTGGACATAGCCAGGTGGATGTTAGGCTTTTTGCCTTTGAACAGCAGACATCCCCCACAGCACAAACTGAAAGTTGTTCCAGCATCAAAAGAGGATGCTATTGAAGGTTGCTAACTTTTCAACTGCCCTTTGTTCTTGTAGTAATTAGCAGGTGGTTATTCTCTATGCCTTGGAAAGCTTCACCCGCTAATTCCCACATATCGAGCTGCTGTTAAAGGTACCAGGTACATTGTTTTTTGTGAAATAGCCCTGCTATTTGGCAATCCTAAAGCCATGGGTCATGGAGGAGGTTGTTGTCTGAGAAATGTTGTTCCTCAAAGGGCATGGAGGTCTGGTCATGTGGTTCTTAGGACCCAGTAATCTCTGTGACTACAGTATTCACTATGAGCAATATCGGATATACCGCCATATTCTGAAGAGCAAAAAAGAGGACACATTTGCCGACTTCTACTTTTAACTATGGATGACTCTCATTTTACATACCCATGAAAGAGAGGACATGTCCTGGAAAAAGAGGACACATGACAACCCTAACAGCCTGCATTATTCCTTTAAAACCATCTCAGCTAGTTTACAGGAGGCCTCACTCAAGGTCATCCTCCATTGGCACTGGATGTGGAAAACTTGGTTCATTTATTCACATTTAATAGGAATGTCCCCATGTTAAAAAAACCCCCTTGGAATACAGTATTCTCCACTATACCCATAATTACAAGCCAACCTCTTTCTCCAAATCCTGCCCTGGTCCTACTATCTTTGGACCTAGACTTGGGCTCCATCCTGCACCACAGAGAACTAGTAGGCTAACTAGTAGATTTGTTACTCAGCGCAGCATGATTAGGGGTAGCTCAGCAGTAGAAGAACCAGACTGAAGTACTCCTGAAGACATGGGGAAATAGTATCTGGGATGCAGGAATGTCTGAGCATCTCACCAGACACAAAAGGCCATTAAAGGCGTAATGAGAAGAGTCACTTTCCAAGAAACATGAACCACTTTCTTTAACTATGTTAATGACCCAAATCAAGACTTTGTTATACCAACTGCTCCATCTTCTCAGTGGAGAGGTTATGTTAATAGGTTTGAACACTGAATGTGTGAACTTATGTCTAAAGACAGAACAAATATACTAGATGTCCTGCTGGATAAATGTTTAATGGTTCTCGTGTTTGTTAAAAAAATAAATAAATCCAAATAGCATATCAGACAGATACGTATCACTTTTACCAATATGGCTAGATACATTTCTCAGAGGAGTTTTGCACACTCTGGAGTCTTAACGCATCCCCTTATACTCTGTAATGAAGAAGTATGAACAATGAGAATTAGAGGAGTACCAATTACCGCTTATCTTTATATTCCCTGTTGTTGTCTGTGGAAACTAAACAAACACAGCCTCCTCTCCTGAATAATAGTTAGCTAGGAGCCAGGGTTTTGCTGCAGCTCACGTCCCCACTGCAATCCATGCACTACTGCGACCTCCTTGAATTGCTCTTTGCCAGCATAAATGATGCTTC